CAGTGAAAAAGTACTTGTTAGTAGATATGGGCGGTATGACCCAAATTTTATATCACAGTATTTTCAACAATTACAATGGTTTCACAGTATTTGACAGTATTTTTCTTTTCATCACAGCTCAGCTGATAATAAAATGCATAAACCCTGCTTATTAACTTTTTTCTTTCACTGTACCTCTGTCTGTGTCGCTGTTTCCCTTCTCTCTGTGTCTTTTCTCTGACTGGTGGTTGCAGACAGTAGTCACTCATTTTGGTCCAGTCGTGAAGGAGGAGGGTTAAGAAAAGATTATGATCGGGTTTATTGTTTTATGTTATTTATTAAAGCTTATCAGCACGACTCACCTTGCACACCAATCAGTTCCAACTCCACTACGAACTACTTCCTGCGGGCTTTTCACAATAGAAGCACGTTAAGTCTCCATCAGCATAACGTCTCCATATTAACTAACCGCGTTAAATCTAACTGTGCACGTCACTGAAGAGGTGTTTACTACATTCAGTGATGGTGAAAATTGGATATTTTGTTTTAACATCAGTCAATATAAGCAGCGGAATCACCACCCACCGCTGCAACAAGCTGCTCCAACAATAACATTAGCATGCTAACGCACATAGCGGTGCTGCGAGGAAAAGTGTCCCCCAGGAAACAGTTCACTGGCGGCCATGACAAAACGTTCCACACGTGTTTTCAGGCTTTTTAAACCGGTATGTCGGTATTCAGAAAATTCATATAACAAAAATAAAAACCGGTATTCTGTACAAAAAGGTATACCGCCCAGCACTACTTGTTATAATAAATAATGGAAAAGTCTGAAAGACTTAAAAGACAAAGAGATAGAACAGACTGCAAATTCTAAATATAAAGACAAAAAAACGTATTTTAGGCTGAAGCTCTTTGCTCTGTGAGGCTGGCTCAATGTGTGGAAAACTGAACAAAATGTCAGCATGAAGAACAGTTTGCTAACAGCAAAAAGCAAAAACAACCACAGGAAACAAGGAGGAATATAGAAGAATGCCACCTGTTCAACCCTTCATCCCTGCAGCTCTGCAGGAGCAAAAAAACTGATGCTTTATGTGTCTTTTCACCCTATTTATTATTATTATTTCTTCCTGTTGCACATTAAAGTTTTGTTAAAAGAATAAAAAAACTTGGAGGACTATCCGAGCATGGGCAAGCTGAGATGACCTAAATAGAGAGGAGAAGGTCCTGCATGGGTTGGTTCGGAAATAACTTGACATTCTGGCCCCTGAGGAGAATATAAAAAAACCCCTCCAGCTCCTGGGTGGGACAGGTTCAGTATTTAGTAACCACAGATCAATACATCATCCATTAAACCCCCTCTCTTCCTCCTCCCTTCATCACCCTGCTTTTATGTATAACCACAGAGGACAGAACAGTTCAGTTCCGGCACCGGAGCAGATTTTTTAAATCCCACAGTGTGCTGGGAACTGCATCAAGCTAAGCCGTTTCCCCTCACAAACAAACCAAAGGGTAGATACACCATCATCTCTGCCATTTCAACTCATTTAAAATATAAATCTTGTTAATGTATCCTTTATGCCTGGCTTTCAATCCACACTGAGGAGCTAAAGGAGTCAGAACAAGCCCTTCAATCATCGGTTTATTGCTGCTACTTGGGCAGGTTGTGTTAGGTGAACAAAGACGTTTGATCACACTGGCCTTTTCCGTCAGAAAACAAAGAGCTAACCAGTCTCTAAGCCAGCTCCCTTTCTGCAGAGGCAATTAGGGAGGCTTCTTATCAGCTGGTAATTACAGAGGGAAGAAAGGAGCAGCAGGGAAGTGCCTTTCGTTGTGGTCACACAAGCGTTGCGCACATTTCTGAGATAGAGCCATCAAAACGTTCTCCGAGCAGCGTTCCAGACATTTCATCAGAAGTCCCACAAACACAATCATAATTACAGCTAACCGCCTCAGCTGCAGGGTTTAACACAGACAATCTGATGGAAACGGTAAGATGAGTGTCTGAGTGTGGAAGTGTGATGACTCACCCTCAGCGCTTCAATAACCAGGTCTCGGGCCTCCAGCTCGCCCTCCATGATACTCAGCAAGGTGAGCAGCTCCGGTTTGCTCAGGTTATCCATGTTGAACTCACATTTCTGAAAGACACACCACACAAAAAAACACACACACACAAAATGATTTCAAAACAGATCATAACAAACTGGCAGCTGAACAAAGAGGCCGTGCCTCTAAACATTCGACTTTTCGGAAGTTTGAAATCTTTCTCGGCTCACAAACTAAGCGAGCAACTCGATTATGATGATTTTAAATGATTTTACCTCAACGTACAGCAGCTTCAGGAAGTAACCAGACCCCCCATCACTGTGTGAATAGTTTAGTTTTCTGGCTTCATGAAACAACTTCCATCATCACAAGCTGTGACTGGCTTCAACCAAATGTGCTAAAACATAGACCTGTGTTTGTGAGCGGAGCTGTTCAGTGAACGAAACAACACAACGTGTGCACACAGACCCACACTCACAGCTTTATCCAGTATCTCACCAGACAGCAATCGTTAGACCAGTTGGTGATTCAAAACTGCAGGAAAATAGTTACATTTCCGAACTTAAAGTTTTACTGAATTCTGAGTGTTTGCAACCAACTCCAATAATTTGGATAACCTTTAAAAAAAAGACAAATTTGGACCAGTTTTTAAATTGTTCTTTATCATCAGCAGGGTTTATAGAGCTGGATGTTCAGCGCTGTAGCCTCAGCTGTTTTCTGTCAGACAGCTCCCTGGTACCTTTCAAAATAAAGCTCTAAATATCTAGGATTATGAAAGCAAAATTGAAAGAGTAACCACAGTCATGTTGCATTTTATTCAACTTTTACATGATTGAAGCAGGAGTACAAATCCAAGTCCGCTACAAGTCCAATTTTTGATTTGTTAGTTTTGTTTAGTTTTTACCTTTGCCATGTCCAGGATGTCTAAGAACCTGCACCAACATTTGGTACCAACATTAGCGTTGGGTCATATCAATAATCATTTCATTTAAATTAGGGAATATTGATTTATAGGGCATGAGATTCATTTTTTTCTAATGACGCTACCCTCAGTAGCCTTGTGTGATGAAGATGAGGCACGTTTCTATGTTTTGTGTCACTCCTGGCTTGCTGTGTGTTTACATCTGGTTCAGTGCTAACATTAGCTTCTGACAACAAGTTGTCTGCGGAAAAACCAAAGGAACCAAGAAATCCCTAAGATTACCAGCTGACTCTCCACGGTCTTAAAGATAACAGAGACCATGGCGACTTTTGTTTGTAAAGATTAACACTCATACTCAGTGGTGGAAAACGAAGCGGCTCGTTCAGGTGCTCCAACCAAATCTACTGTGAGTAAGCATCTGACTGAAACTGTCCCCGCATGTATGAAAGATGACATTCTAAAAAAAAAAATCATCATTATTATTAAACTTTAAGAAACGTTTTGATGAAATTCATAGTGATGAAATGTTTTAGTTCTATCATTTTTCGTTTTAAATTTTTTATTAAACATTGTGCTAGATAACACAGAAGGTAACAGAAACATTACAAATATACACATTTGGCCCACGGG